TCCTGCTGTGATCAACAGAAATCTGGCTCCTGAACCCAGCTTCTTCTGAACAGGAGCTCTGTCCTACTGTTATCTCTATCTGTTATCTCTATGAATTAGCTTTTTAAAAAAATGTAATTGAAGTCTAAAACTACACAACTTAAAGTAACAGAGGTTTGTGTGAACAGATCTGTGGCATAGCCCACCAGTTCTTGATACTGGGAACCAAAGTCTCAATTCACATTCTCCGAGTATCTTCTGTCCTGAGGTTTGACACCACATTATTGAAAACCTGCAGCTTTTATTACAGTCATCCCTCCAATCCAGGTTTTCAAGGAAGAACAGAGTAAAAACTGAACTGCGCACCTGCAAGCTACACACTGTGAAAAGGACAGATCTGTGTTGTGTGGCTCTTAGCCCTCAGTAGAAAGAAAAAATAATATGTAGCTTATTAAAGGACTGTGCTGATAGAAAATGAGCAGAACACTGTCCTTTTTACAAACACAAAGGATAGATTCAAGGAACCTGTGCTAGATCCTTAATCACAGAATGGTTTGGGTTGGAAGGGATCTTAAAGATCATCTAGTTCCAACCTCCCTGCATGAGCAGGGACACCTCCCAATAGACCAGGTTGCTCAGAGCCCCATCCAGCCTGCCCTTGAACACTTCCAGGAATGAGGCATTCATGACCTCCTTGGGCAACCTGTTCCAGTGGCTCACCACTCTCACAGGAAAGAATTTCTCCCTAATGTCTAACCTAGCTCTACCCTTTTCAGTTTAAAACCATTACTTCTTGTTCTATCACTTCAAGTCCTTGTAAATAGTCCCTCCCCAGCTTTCCTGTAGCCCCTTCAGGTCCTGAAAAGCCACTATGAGGTCTCCCCAGAGCCTCTTCTTCTCCAGGTTGAACAACCCCAACTCTCTCAGCCTGTCTTCACAGGAGAGGTGCTCCAGCCCTGTATCACCTCCATTGCCCCCTTCTGGACTTGTACTAACAGGCCCATGTCTTGCAGTTCTGAAAATTTCAAGCTAACATACTTATCCAAAAGACATATGAAATCGCCAGGACTTAACTGAGATGATCATTTGAATCAGTTTATAGCAATCTGTTTCATTAAGTCTAGTAAAATTGTACTGCACTTTTGCATTTAACCCTCTGCAGAAGACAATCTTGCTAAATCTTTACTTCTTAACAACCAAGTAACCTATTCTTGTCCCACTGAATTAAAGAAGTTTCATTATTATTTTTGATAGGATAAAGTTTTGTTTTTTCAATGCTGTTATCCTACCTACCTGAGAAAGGGAAGGTTGTATCCTAGGTATGCCAGACTTAGGTGTCAATGGTAGCAATGATACCATTTGTGGAAAAGGATCAACATCCACCTTTGGTCTCTGTTGGCATGTGTGCCAGAACTTCAGTTTTGCACTGGCAGTGTCTATTGCTGTGGAATGAGTGACACAAAATCTTGGACCCCTGGGGGAAAAAAAAAATTAAAAAGCTAATAAGTAAAACAACTTACCCAAAATATTAATACTGGGCTATTTGGCTTATTTTCTTTCTTTTTTCTTTTTTTTCTTTTTTTTTTTTTTTTTATTTCCCCATTACGGTATCAAGGTATGGGGCTATAGGCTATATGCACCTAGAATTAAAAATCTGTATTAAAAATATGTTTAGACATTGCAATCCTCCAAATCTAAAGCCAAGCTTCACATAACTAAACTTAGGTTGCCATTTCTGCACCATTACACAGTTGCCTTTCTATGAGTCTCCTACAGCAAAGTATAGCATAGTATTGTAGGTCACAGGACATACACTATAAGTCTCATGAGGCTCCACAGCAAAGTTCACAGTTACAGGTATTTGTTGATGTCTGCAATTTGTTAATCCCCCCCTGGGGAGAAGACATTAAAAAATTTAGCTTATGTTTTGGAAACAGGTTAGAATTTGTACCCTCACTGAAGCTGTCAATATGTAAAGCATATTTTGTATGACAGACATTGAACAGTAAAGTCTCAGGGTCAAATTTCACATAGATGTATATACAGAGCATCCTCAGAAACTTGAACAGATTAGGACAGAATTAACCTTCTATGTCTGCAGGAGTTTCTCTACCCTGCAGTCTTAAGTTTAGTTGAATGGTATCCAAGGCAGCTCTACATAAAGTAGCTCAGATGCTCTGGCAGTAAAATAGCAAGGGCTCAGGAAGGCAGATATACCTGATTTCTCAGCAGGTTGCAGTGTAGTTTAGGCTCAACGAAAAATTCAGAAGCAACATCTGCTAGTATTTATGAAGGCATAGCTTCCTATAATTGCAATGGGATAAGTGAGATGAAATAAACCTAATAGGCTTACCAAAGAAAAGGAAAATTTGTTAAACAATTGAATCTTACTTCATGTTCAATTTTTCATACCAGTAAAGAAGTAGAGGTTTCACTACTTCAGGCTGAATCCGTCTTAAATGCTTTGTATTCCACTGATCTCCATGCTGCAGATCAAGTCTGAGTAACACTTCTGAACTGAGGAAATAGTCTCCACTGCTCAGCAAATAGAGTTTTTTCATCTTACTGAGTTGCCTTGAGTCAACAAAAACAGTCACATAAGCATGTATCCAATGCTATACAGAACCAAGCACAGTTTATCCTACTGGTTAAACTGCTGCCATACAACATGCTTTTAATTGCAAGTGGCAGAAGCTAAAACAATTTTTCTTGCAAATTAGAGACAGGTTGTGTATAAGATAAAATGTACAGTGCCTTAGAATAGACAATCTGAATCCTGCAGAGCCTTCCACTAAAAGCAGTTTGTCATACTGAATCCTTTACTTGTGTATTTAAGTTCTTTTACTCTTTTTTAAGTTTCTGTTCCCATCTGTTTTCCAGTCTTCTTCTAACCAAGCCTTAATACTATGGAAATTCCAACTTCATGTAAGCTTTGCAAACATGACTCTGCAAAAAGAGTTTTATCAGCACCAGTAGAGTCATTCCTGACTTATCCTGCTAGGAAACTCATGATTATTTTAATTTTGTCTGTTCTATTCAAACATTACAATTTATTCCGAATCTCAAAAACTGCATTGATCTAACTGGGTTACAAGTATTAAAACACTGGGAATAATGGCAAGTACCTTTGCTGTCTTGTAGTGACCTGAAGAGTTTTAAGTCTTTCAATATCCATCCAGAGCCACCAGTACCTCTCCCCAAGTGTTCCTTTAATGAACTTCTTGAATCTTTCAAACTCTCGTCTGTTGCCAGTATCGTAAGTCCCGTGACTAATGCACCAGGCAGCCCTAATGTCTGCACCATCACTTTCAGAACTTGAGCTTAAGCTTATTTCTTCAGGATCTTTTTTTTTTACATCTCCTTTGGAGTCTGAGACAAATTCATTATTTGCTAACTCATGTTTTTGGAGATCCACATCACTCTCAATATCAGCAGCTGGCTGGTGGGTCAGTTCTGAAATGGGTTCCTTGGTTACAAATTGAGTAGAGGCCGGTACAAATTCTTCTAGTGTCTGAAAAGCTGCACTTCCCAGTTCATCTTCTTCTTTTTCTATACTGTCCCATTTTGGGTCTAGATAAACTCTTAACTGAGTGTGGGAAGGAGGTTCAGCAATGGCTACATAAGAAGCCTCATCAGCCTCTCTGGATATCTCCCTTTTAATGCTGGCTTTTGCTGAAGCTGGCCTTGAAGGGGAAAGGAAGCTCTGTTTGTGGCTTTCCTTAGACCAGGAGACTGTGTCTGCATTAAATCAGAAAAGGTCATTGAACACCCTTTTGATTCAGGACTGTTCTTTTGCATATCAACACTTCCAAGCTAAAAAATGCAACATATTTAAATTGTACTGCTGCAGAACAATCAGGCCATGTCACTCTGCAGAGCAGGGAACAGTAGAGGTGCTTGCACTACTGCTGTCTGGCTAGAAACTCAGCCCTGTGACTCAGTAACTCATTCCCTGTTTAATTCCAGCAGAGCAGCAGAATTCAGTAACAATTCTCTCTGGACCCAGCTTTTTTGTTTACTCAGCTGAGCATCCCAGCTCTTCAGCACTTGTTAAACCACCTTGTTGTGCTGCAAGGCCTGGTTTCTTCCTGAGCATTCAGTAATAGTTTGATCAAAGTCACAGTATCTAGTAGGACTGGGTTTTGTTTAGGCATGAGGAAGCTAGTAAGTGATAATTCTTTGTCTCCTTTTGCTATTATTGCAAAAGAGTAAAACATATAACAGGCTGCACCCTGCAGTTGGGTAAGAGCTTGACATACACAGGAACACAAAACAAATTATTATGTTAACGGTTCTGGAACCATTTAACAATCCTGCAGTCCAGTTGCCACCCAGAAAGGGCTCCTTTCCATTTAGAGATGTTTCATAACTAGCAAGTTCAGAACAGTGACCAGTCCTGCTTGTCTGGTCTACACTTCTCTACTTAATTCCTTTTTCCAGACTCCTTATCATTTCCATGCTGTTAAGCATGCACTGCCATCCTGGTCTGCTGAGAAAGAAACATAATTCCTGCTTTAACTTGCTCTAATATATTTTCTACTTCTGTCAGACTTTTAACAAATCAAATACTTCTGGATCCTGTTAGGAAAGATAACCTTCAGTATACATACTGCTTAGCTAGGTAATGCTGTACAATTCAGTCCTGTAAACCTGAGGAGAATAACTTCAGATATTGTGAACCTGGAAGTCCTGGTAGACAGCAGGATGACCGTGAGCCAGCAATGTGCCCTTGTGGCCAAGAAGACCAATGGCATCCTGGGGTGTAATAGAAGGGGTGTGGTTAGTAGGTCAAGGGAGGTTCTCCTCCCCCTCTATTCTGCCCTGGTGAGGTCACATCTGGAATATTGTGTCCAGTTCTGGGCCCCTCAGTTCAAGAAGGACAGGGAACTGCTTGAAAGAGTCCAGTGCAGAGCCATAAAGCAGATTAAGGGAGTGGAACATCTTCCTTATCAGGAAAGGCTGAGGGAGCTGGGTCTCTGAAGCCTGGAGAAGGGGAGACTGAGGGGAGACCTCATGAATGTTTTCAAACATGTAAGGAGCAAGTGTCAGGAGGACAGAGCCAGGCTCTTCTCAGTGATGTCCAATGACAGGACAAGGAGCAACGGGTGCAAACTGGAGCATAGGAGGTTCCACATAAACATGAGGAACACGTTTTTCACTGTGCGGGTGACAGAGCACTGGGACAGGCTGCCCAAACAGGTTGTGGATTCTCCTTTTCTGCAGACATTCAAAACCGGCGCGGACGTATTCCTGTGTAACCTACTCTAGGGGATCCTGCTGCAGCAGCAGGGTTGGACTGGTTGACCTTTCAAGGTCTCTTCCAACCCCTAGTATACTGTGAATCCATGATTCAATTGAAGTAATGAGCAAGGAATACAAAATGGATTGTCCTAGCAAATATATGCAGCTACTGAACTCTTTCTAGTTGCAGGCTGGCTCTGAGAAATGTAGCTGATGACCTTTATTGCTTCCAGCATCTGACCACTACACCAGGTGAATACTGTACCTAAAAAAAAGTTTTCTGAGTGAATGAATGCTGAATTTCCTATGAAATAAGCATAAAGAGTAATGAACACATGTAAAATGAAGGTCTATGTTACAAAGCAAAGTTTCCAGTGAGAAGATGTAAAATACTCATTGAGGCAAAATGTTTTTGACTGCAGGACAATGGCAGCAAAATAAGAGACAAAGAGGTTTTCTACAAGTCTGTGGCCAGCCCACTGCCATACAGAGTGATACATTATGATGCTCTGCCAGAATGGTGCACTTGCGACCTCTCTGCTCAAAGCACTCCAAAAACTAGTGGTAGAGTCATGAGCTGCAAACCAGTGTGACTTGAGTAACTTAATTAATCCATGAATCAGAAATGTATTTCCTGGGATGATCCTCATGGGTTTGGGGAAGAAGACAGACTTCTGGAATTACCATGTCTTCCGATGTTCCATTCAGCCATTGGACTCCAAGGTCCCAGCAGTACAAGTCTCAAAGCAGAATGGCTGCTTTTTCCTCTGGGAATGGGGGAAGGAGGACTCCTAGCACATGCACTGAGACTTCTCTGTTCATCCTACTACTGCCTATAAAGCAGAAACAAGGCTATGCAATCAGGTATGCCCATTTGCATCTGGATGTTCTCTTCCAGTACCTTTGAAATGAGCTGAAGAATTTTGGTAAAGTTTGACAGACAGACAGAAGTGTCACAAATTATGATGTTCTATAAGATTCATAAAATTGGCAGGCAAAAGGCCTTTCAGTGCCCAACATAAATACCCTAAGAAGATGGCTGCAACACAAATCATACATTATCCAATACCCAAAGAATCCAGACATGAAATTATTTCAAAACATATTGAATGAAAAAAATCCCCTGAGCTGAAACTTACAGACATCTAAGAGACACAAATGTGTGAGGAAAGAGGCTTTTACTATCACAATATTACTCCGCTACTAACTCAAATTTTAATTTAACATTGTGGCTATGAGAAGAAACAAATCCCCATCTAAAACTGAAGATATCATACAATACTCAGAAGATAAGGAGTGGAGTTAGCAGCATTTCCTTGAAATGCCTTTTCTTTCCACCTAGTCAGGTTTGTATTATTAGTTATGGCTGAGCCCCTGTTACTTACCCAGAAGGGTATCTTCTTTGCTTAATGAATCATCTCTTTCATGCTGCCCGGGCAAACACTGAGTGTCTTGAATTTGACTAGAAGCTACAGGATGCATAGATGAATCTGTAGTATTCATTAATTCCCCTTGTTTTGCCAATGTAGACAAATCCTCTGTCTGAGAAACCGTAGCCTTGAAAGAGAAATGTCATAGAAAATTCAAATTTCTTTATTTATTGCAGTGTTTCTGAGAGCAGAGGGCTTACTGTCTGTAGTCATTTTATGCAGTCCTTTTGTACAGAGTTCTGTAATGATAGTTCCCAGTTCTGTTCAAGCTATGTTGCAACCCCTCAAAGTTATTTTATAGTAGAAAAAGCTTTGAAAAGAAGGAATATTCAGAGAATCCATTGTCTAATTAGGTTGTGACCTCAGTTACTATAATTTAATTAAATGCATTCAATCTAGCTTGATTGAATCAAGGTCACTCACTAAACATGTTTATTTTACCTGGCCAGGCTTCATCATCAATGAAGTGTCATCCTCCTCAGGAGAGGGTGAACTTGGATCTCTCTTCTTTATCCAGGGATAAAAGTCACTATCTATAATAAAATTAATCCCAGTCTTGCTCCATTCTACCTGTGATACCAATTTAGCTAGCCTGAAATTAAATGTTGAGACAAGAAAATAGTTGATTGTAGCTTTTGTTTGGAGAAACAGGTTGTTTTTTCACTAGAATAGCAAATAAAAACCATGATCATAAATTGCTACAGGGAACTTCATTTCTGCTTTATTATTCCACCCCTCATCTGTTATTACAAATATAAATGCCAATACTGCCATTCTGTAGTTCACCAGCTTTACAGCTGGTAACCTGCTTTGCATTGTCAAGCTTTACCAATGAAGTTTATTTCTGTCAGGATGATCTTGCATGTGTCTATGCAGTCTCTGAAGCCCTGCCAAGAAGGCCTTGAACATTTTGATTGCTAAAATGGAACTATTCTCCCAGATAGCAGAAGCCCTGTGTCACTGCCAGACACTACATTTCCTCTCCTGATACAAGCAATCTTCCAGCAGCAACAACACAGAAGTGATGATACTAGTTGAACTTTCTGATGATACCAAGGCAGCTGATATTACCATGCTCAGCTGGCTGCTGTATGACTTCATAGTACTGAATAGGACTCCAGGGCTACCTTGTATTAGTGTGAACTTCACAATGTTCAGAAAAAGGCAATCTTACAACCTATGAACCATAATGAGGATGCTCTGGGCTCAAGAACCGTGGCAGAACTTACTCAGCTAAGTCAGAGAGCAGTGCAAAACGAACCAAGGTGTATGTGAATGGAAGAGGAAGCCTCTGCCTGAACCTGTGACCATGAGCTCAATACCCAGTTATGTTTGTCCCCACTCTTTGAGGGCAAATAGAATTTCATTCTAGGGTTGAGGTGTCTTCATCTTTAAATACAAGTTTCCCTTCTATCATCTCAGTTTCTTATGATCCAGATTCAGGAAAGCAATTTAAAACACAGATATCAACGGAAATAAGGCACATGCCTAAAGCTATTTTTATGTCATTCTCTTAGGTAACTCTCTTCAATCAAGGAAATACTTTGCTATAGCATAAGATCAAATTTTTAGTTTTTCATGAGGTCCATATACCTGTAAAGCAGGCTGCTATACACCAGAGCACTCTCACGATTTGCTTATTCTTTGCAGGGTTTTCCCCTTGAATTTAAGTGCGGTCTTCAAGATACTGAAAGTTAGTAGTCTTTATATACAAGTCTATACCCCAGTAACTAGTCTGTCATTCAAATCAGCAAACATGAGTTTTGTGAAAATGCTGCCAGGCTGTCTTTCCTTGTAAGACCCCCAAAAACTGCTGCAATTATCAGCATCTAGGCACAACTGCAAGGGATGTAGAGATGGATCCTTTCAAACAAAGAATTGGGAAAAAAAATGGAAATAAAAAGGACTGGCTGTTTTTTCCAAATAGATTTTATGGATTCCCATCTTCCGAT